TCTTTGAAGTACCATTCGATGAACGGTGTAGGCTCGCCCGTAACCACTGTGCTAATCGTGACGGTGTCGTTCTCCTTGACCACGTACCGCTCAATGCAGGTTTCGAATCGTGGTGCATTTGTCACTTCAATTTCTTCCTGGAATTTGGTACGTTGGCAAAAATTGAGACTTCCCCCAAAAGTTAGTGACTGGAGCTCCTCTGTAAGCACTGTGTACAGCAATCTATTACGCCATGAAATAGCTCGTGATCGTCAGGAATCAGGAATCCTCTCTGGAGAAGAGGTTTTCACTAACCTCCTCGCTCTCCTCCTCCATAATCTTCTTCACAGCTTCACGTACTGCATCTACGAACACATTGGCGACAAGAGCACTGGCCACATTTTCCGCCACTTTCACAAGCAACTTGTACTCTTCTATAAAAGGGTCACATTTCCGGCTTTGAAAGAACAATCAGAAACCCCAAATCCGAAATTTTGCTTACCTTCGTGTTTGGTGATTTCTGTGGTGGCTATGAAGTCTTCCTTACTGGTCTCAGTTATTTCAAATGAAGAATGATCGACGGTCTCCGTGATTGTTTCCGTTTCTGTTTGAGTTTCACTCACTTTCTCTGTTGTTATCGTCCTAGTGGGAACGATCACTTCACAGCTGGTACTGCTCAAGCCATTTTCTGATTCCGCTTTGCAGGTGTAAATGCCTAAAAGTTGAATGTTTGCAGTAAATGGCCATAAAATCAACTTTAAAGCAAGCGGCCAATGGCTGAATGTGGTTCTGTTCCGTCCTAACAAATGGTCTGTTCCTGCACCCACACGAACATATGGATTTAATGTGCATCCACTTTCGTGGGCACGATTTTTCTTTCTTCATTCGCCAACAATTATTGAGAACCTTTTCTGGCTCCCTCAACATATTGCTAGAGTGCCTTGCCCTCTTGAGTGTCCCAAAGTCACAACATTCCCTTTTCAAGGTATCCTTCCATTCCAGAACGTCCAGTAACTAATTGTCTGTCCTAATTGGAACGAATCCTCGTAAGGGCGTTCTGTTTCACTTGAGTATAATATAATATAATATATTCAGTGCTCCCAAGTCCTAAGAACAGTCATGGGCCATGGACCATTATTGGCAATCAGGTACCTCACGATTTGGTCGCGATTTTCGATCCCTTTCAGTGACTTACATTCGAGGTATAGTGCTACTGTTTAGACGGTGCTTGAAAATTGTTTAATAAAATAGTCTTTGAGCATAAGCAGATTTGGTAAAAATTACAGAACAAGTGAAGTGAGTTCAATTTGAAAGATGGGCTCTATTTTAAGAAATTTTAGGATATTCATTCAACCGATGAACAAGCTTACCATTGTCGGAAGGAGTAGGCGAATGAATCGTCAGAATGAGAGCACCGTCAGAGAACTCGTGAAGTTCGTACTTCTCACCAGGTATGAGCTGTACATCATTCTTCCACCACGTGATTGTGGCACGGGTAAAGCTAAAATGTTTGGTTTACTTTCCTGAAGTTTACTGTATCACGATCCTAAGCAACAAAGATGACCTTCTTCACCACCCTCGTTACTAATACTATCGATATACTTAAGCTCACTCCATCCGCTGCGCTCCTTTTGACCCTGTGCTTTGACTCGAAAGGCGGTCGTTTGGCGCGATCCCTCCCATTGTGTCGCCCATTCGACGCGATTTGCGATCTGTACAGCTCGTCCAAGGATTGGACCACCCACTGCTCATCCAGCCCGATCGATGAGCAGCTACTATTAGACGCCTCATTGTGGATCTACTTGTATTCTGCCTACCTGTGTGGCGTCATCGATCGGGCTTCTATCAGCTGGATGGTTAGTGGGCCGCTCGATCAACTGGACGAGTTGTCCAGCTCGCAAACCGCGTCGAATGGGTGACGCGATGGCAGGGATTGCGCCAAACGACATACACCCCTTTGACACCATTCCTATACCGAATTCCTATACCCCTCATACCAAATATTCTATCCAAATAGATTTGTAGTAATCAGAGGCATGGTTCTTGAGCTGGACAGGATCATGAGCCAGCTTAAAGGCAAACTTCATGATAATTTTGGGGTATCTAGTTTTAGACGAATAATGTAAGCGATAGTACAGAACAATGCGAAAACGCGGAAACGGGGAAAATATTGCCGAAATCGGCATGTTTTTAGAAATGTAAGGCCTTATAAAAGTGCTATAATTAGGGGTTCCACGAGAGTAAAGATAAAGTTGCAGGTATACTTGGAGAAGCTGCCCGAATTTTTAGCCATTTATGCAAACTCTACGACTCCAGAAACGCTGTGAGAACTCGTCCGCCTGGGTGTATGTCGGCTGAACTCTGAGGCTATTATTACGCCCTATCTAGGCCGTTTTTCGACCAGCACACTTTGTGCTATCTTAGTTGTAGGTTTATCCTAGGGGATAATATAGAAACCACTTTTGTTTTGAGCTGTGCCTTTAAGTGGAGGTGGATCGTATCCAAAAAGGAATTGATTTCATGCCTGTAGAATACCCTCAAAAAGCAGAGGCGGTTCTGGCGGTTCTCGCTCGTTACCCGAGTAACCACAGTTCGTAGATAGAAGTTTCGTTTTGTACCTTTTCACTCTGCAAATCAGTCGGATGTAGTTTAGATCGTAAGCGCCGTCTGTCTCAGCGGTCAGTTTCTCGACGAACTTCGGCGGCTCCTCTGGCATCATCGCTGACTCGGCGCTTGCCGAACCGTCTTCAGTACCTTTAGAGTAGTCGATGGGACCTGTAAGTTAGTACAAATCGCTTTCGTGCTGAGAATATTCAACAGTTCGATATTTCCACCTTAAATAGCTCACCCTGAATATTGATGTATGCAGCAGTCTCTGCAGTTCCATGAGGATTAGTGGCTGTGCACTTGTACAGGCCACTATCTTCTGGATAAACTTCGGGATTCATCAGTTCACAAATTCCATCGGGATGTATCTGGAAATAGCTGGATCATTTAGGAGCTGATGAAGTTCAATGAAGATAAATAATGTGAG